AGGGACGTTATTTCTTGTGATAAAGGACTTACCCCTCTATTCTTAGCTAATGAGCAATGGCAAGACTCGGCAGTACAGAGAATTTCCGACCGGGAGACCGTATAGAAGGAGAAGGAGATCCACGGGAGGTTCTACAAGGATCTACATGAGCCTTTCGTAGACACAGTCGCCTCCCTCCACTGGCTACGTTTCGGTGACCTCTTTGGGGAAACCGAGGGTTTTGTCTGTGCGATACAGGATCAGGTTATTAAGACTAACAATTATTGGAGATACATCCTAAAGGATGGCACCGCCGACATCTATCGAGCTTGTCGCCATCCCGGTGAGTCACTTAGGCATGTCCGGTTGTTCGGCGCTTTCTAACTTTGAGTATTAGACAACTTAGTAGCCAGGATTCTACAGCAGGAGCTCGCTCTGAAATACGGTCTCGTGGATTGGAAACTGCCGTATTATAAGTACTTGTCGGAAGCCGTGCCCGAAGATGACCGCGCCAGGCTCTAGAGAACCTCGTGAAAGCCGAAACAGATAAGCTAACAAAATATCTGGACCTGGCTCACGAGGTGACCGACATGTGGGGTAGATTGCCGGCCGAAATTATACCTGTAGTCGTCTCTGCGAACGGGTTAATTCCAGTCAGCCTCTCGGGTCATCTGAGGCGACTGGGACTCTATGACGGATCGCTCCATGCTCAAATGCAGAAGGCGGTACTCCTCGATACCGCCTGCATCGTCCGCCGGTTTCTTTCCCTTTCCTCCTAACCCTCGGCCGTTTGGTCTCCCCTGCCGAGGGCTTCCATCTGGTTGGGTTTTTATATATTTGTGTATTTTTTATGTATTTACTATATTTTATTGATATTTATGTACGTTTACCATGTTTATTTACAATTATATATTTATATTGCCCAACTAGATGAGAAAACTTCCAAATAATAATAATAATAATTTATTTCAGGCTTTTTTACACCCATTTCAAATATATGCATGTGTAAATTTATTAGTATAGTTTTAATTGTCACGCTTGAGAATCGTGATAGACGATTGTTTTTGTGTGCGCAGATTTCCTCCCGAAAAAAATGACAGACAGTTATGTATCGGAAAAAAAAAACTGAACGATTCGAAGCTTTAAGAATGATCATTCTGTACTATTTTTTTGACATGGGGAGCGGAATTGAAAAGAAATACACATGGTTTTTCGGTTCAAATTCAAAAAAAGTATTTTAAGATAAAAGTTTACGATACCCATAAAACGATTGTAACACATATCGATTTAACATATGGTCATTCGCGACATACATTTAAGTTTAATAAAACTGTAATGTGAGTATTTGGTATCACATAGACGGTTGTTGATTACCATGTCGATAATGTTACTACAAGAAAAAGCTCGATAACAAATAGAAGTGAGTGAAATGGCACATTTTATTTCTTTATTTTAGGTCCCTCAAAAACATGGGACCATCTTTAAGTCCCAGGCCATATGGGACGATTTGTTTTTAATACGAAGTTTTTGATATTGTATGCTTTGTGATAAAAGTACAACACTTATAACATACAACCGCTAGTTATATTGATACAGATGCTAACATTACTATTAAAAAGTAAAAGATCTTTTTCAAATGTCTTTTCAAATTAAGTGATATATTATGACCCAAATTACAAATTAATTACACAACGCTCAATATTTTATTAATCTGTATATAAGAAGCAATAGTTTCTAAATCATTTCTGATCTTTATTTTGAAATAAAGGTCGTTTACCAACAAATATTCGACTTTAATTTCAACGGATTTATGAATATAATGATGTACCTAATAATGTCATTAACATTATAAATATATGGTGGTGGATGGATACCAAGACGTTTTGAAGGTAATTGACTGAAAAGGATACGATATCAACATCAATGGCGTGTACATCACTCACCTTCGATTTGTCAACGATATAGTCCTTATGGCAGAATCGCTGTAGGACATAAGAACTATGCACAATGACCTCAATAGTGTCTCCCAAAAGATAGGTCTTAAGATGAACATAGACAAAACAAAAATCATGTTTATAGTTCATGTCACACCAATGCCGGTAGTTGTTGGGAGCACTAAGTTTGAAGTTGTTTACCTGGGACAAATAGTCCGATAATGAATATGTTTAACTGGGACAAATAGTCCGATTAGGTAAGTCAAACTTCGACCGAGAGGTCAATCGACGGGTTCAACTCGGCTGGGCAGAGTTCGGGAAATTACGGCACATCTTCTCGTCAGGTATACCTCAAAACATGAAAACGAGACTGCACAATCAAGGCGTGTTGCCAGTGATGACCTATGGAACTGAGACATGGTCCTACACTGCTGGCCGTGTGAGGAAGTTCAAAGTCGCTCAGCGAGCTATGGAGAGGGCTATGCTCGGCATTTCTCTGCGTGTTAGACTTAAAAACAAGGATATCCGCAGTAGAACCAGAGTAACTGATGTAGCCAAAATAATTAGAGTGCTGAAGTGGCATTGGGCCTCAAAGAACTAACAACCGATGGGGAAGAAAGGTTATCGAGTGGCAGCCTCATACCGGCAGGTGAAGTGTAGGTGTACTAGATGGAGTGATGACCTGTTAAGACTTGCAGGAAGTCAATGGATGCAGGTGGCTCGGGGCCGTGCTTTGTGGCATTCCTAGGGGAATGCCTATGTTCAGCAGTGGATTTGTGAAGGACTGTAATGATAATCATGATGATGATGATGACTAAGAGCTGACAACATACATAAAGTCTTCTTTATTTTAAGTTGTGGGGTGGACTGTAAATTCGTCAGTCACCTGGTTTAGTAAAGATTTGAAAAAGAAAAACCCAAACTAATAACCTAAAAAATCATACAGTCCTACTCTCCGTAGTATCATGCCAAAAACGCTAGCTGCGTTTCTTTAGGAGTTGCTTTAGGAACTGCAGCGTACGATCCCAAGGACCAATAGTCTTGACAGCAGACAAATATCACAAATATGTAGTCATCTCTCAGATACACATATTTACGCCACTTACTCATTTCAGCTGCCTCTGATGCCGCGCTGTTTCTAAACGAAGTACCGCTTAGATGAAAAGCTGCCAAAGTATCTACGCAAGTAGCATCCCACACTTGGGCTTTACCTCTCTCCCAAGGGACCAATTTCATACCGTCAGGTCTCCTGCTATCTCTAAATATTCCACAAGGCTCTAAAACCGAGGAATCATTTATAGAGACAAGAGCTGATCGGATGACATTGTTGAAAGAACTGCCGTGAAAACCTATTTGTAGTATAACTTGATTTGGCAGAGTGCATATAAAAACGGTTTTAAAATTATTGTAGAAAAATGCGTTTCATGCGTGTTGGCGGACTACACATGTCATTGAATTATTTTATTGCTCAAGCATGCAGGTTTTCCCACAATTTCGTCCTTCACCGCCGAGCACATCGTAAATCACCGCTTACAATTTTTTTTATGTATTTATAATTTCATTTGAATACTATAGCATAAATAAAATAGCATCTATAAACCACTAAAGTTTGTAGATAATGCTATCTATCATCTTCATGGACATTTCCATAAAGTTTGATAAAGAAAATCGAATACACGTAATGTTGCGTTCTGTTGCAAATAGTTAAAAAATCGAACAAAATGTATAAGTGCAATTTCCAATTTCATTGGTGCCGATGAGGATTAAACAGGCTGTTTAGGTAGTCTAATATTATATTTTACTAATTTAAACACATTATTTATATAACACTATTTATAAATGTACTTTTTCCATCTTGAAAAGATTCTATAAGAGGGCCAGGGGTATTCTAAGTACCTATAAATATTTACAATACTGTTTATAATTATAAGAAGTTGTTCCCTTGTTCCCAGAAGTTGTTTTTATTCTTATTTTAGTATAATTTTATATTATAATGTCAAATTGCAATGGCTCAAAGATTACACAACTTGGACCTGAGCCGTTGTGTGAAATCTCGAAAAGCCTGGTCCGATTGACCCTTGAAACTTACCACAATAAATCACTTAAGATCTGGTCTGATACACCAGGCTTAAAACATTCTAAAACCTTAATCCGCTTATGTAATAATAAACAGCGTATTCTGTCAAGAGCCCTGACTGGACACGGTTGTCTAAAAAGCACATGTCCAACCTGGGACTAAGCTACTCAATGATGTGCCGATTATGTTCCTTAACGGAAGAAACACCTCTTGCACATCGTAACTGATTGTGGACCCTTAATGCACAAACGTAACACTTATCTGGGTAATTATGTACATAGCCCAGAAGAAGTGAAATTGCTCACAGCTACTTCAATTCATTGAAGACATAGGGCTTAGCGGTGAACAACTATGTGTATCCATAGCAGCGATTACAATAAATCTGACAGGTCGTAGTGATACTGGTCTTTCTAGAACGGCATAGCTGCTTCTACAAATTTAAAAAGACAGCTTGTAAGCGATTACCTTATTCTCAGAGGTTGTTTTTATTTTTATATCATTTTACATTATAACGTCAAATTTAAATAAAAATAGTTTTTCATATAATTAAGGTAATGAACGTATCAAAATTAAACTAAAGAAACGACCCTACCAGTCTCCCAAAGCAATTGGCAGCAAAATTGATTTAGCCACGTGATTTTTATAGAAGCGCAAAATATCCTATGCATTCCGGAGTGATTTAATAACTGTCCGGGTGAAGCCCCTTGTACGTAATTTAATGGCTATTACTTTATATAGGGTTTGATGTTCAAAATTAAGCCACCCTATTTTAACTGCCTAGTAAAAAAATTGTCAGTAATGGTTTTTCTCTACTATGACATTCTTAATGACTTTTCAGGGGGATGTTTTTACACTGTGACCAGTTACCCGCGTCCGCAAGGACGAGTAAAAAGTGATTTGTCGGTAGCCTCGGGCATCGAAAGACAAGTTAATTGCAGTCGAGTAGGTATCATGGATCCGACCAATGGGACGGGCTCGTGATATTAGATCGCTAGACGAAACACAACATATTATATACTTGATTCTTTTACACAGTGTATTATACATTTTTGTATAGCTAAATATAAAACTGCAGCAGCATCTTTCTGACGATAACAGCTAAAAATAATAAACAAAAAATCCCGATAATTCGCCTGCCAGGCGAGGTATCGGGTATCATATACAGGGTATTTTTGGAACGCTCCCGAAAACTAATACAGACGACAGTACCAAGTATAACTGTGATGATGGGTGGAATATAAAATCGATCCTGATTAAAGAAAAATCTTCTTTTCACAACGTTTTATTAGCTCTATTCATTCTCTATTATGTTAATACAGATAAATGAAACGATAATTTCATAAAAAAAATCATGAAGATACTGAAACATAAAACCAGGAGTGGAATTACTGAATTCATATCAGCTGATTAAAGGTCAATGTACGCGCGAACGTGAATTCGCGCGGCCCGCAACTAGAGGGCCATACCACAATACCAAATAGTTTATAACACTTGTGTATAACCTAATAATTTATAACACTTGTGTATAAATTATTAGGTATTGTGGTATGGCCCGTACAAATACCTAACTTATCTACTTAACCTACTACTTTGCCGCTATCCTTGTCTCCTCGTAGCCACTTTAATCCGAATTTACAGGTTAAATAACTAAAATTACTGGTTCGATTCCCCGCTAATGAATAAATACTTAAATGAAATGTAACCAAGGTCTAAAGTCATGCGTTTTTATTCATCGTGTAGGTATGTTTATTATTCTCGTGTACCTATTCAGATTATTTCAGTACTAAGTTATTAAAAAAATAGTTATGAAACAGCTTACCGCTCTTAATCCTCAGTGGCCTTATGAGATGCGGCTGAAATTGTGCTCCATTCATTTCAAGGCAGATTTGGGCTCGGTGTTGCGTCTCCTCATGCAGGCGGGGCATCATCGTGTGGTCTTCGACACAGTCCGTACGTAGTTTGTCGAAAACATCCACGATCCTTTGGCGCATTTCGTCAGCACTATCACACTCACGATTAAAAACCCTTTCTTTCACATACCCCCACAGAAAGAAGTCCAACGGGGTCAGATCTGATGAGCGAGGTGGCCAAGCGTGTAGTCCTAGTCTGCCGGTCCAGCGATCATCAAATAGCTCATTGAGGCACTCACGGACGAACCTCACGACATGTGGAGGTGCACCATCATGCTGGAACCATGTGCAGCGATATTCAGCCAACGATAGGTCGTCTAAAATGTCCACCAACTGTTCATTTATGAAGTTCAGGTATCGCTGTCCGTTAAGTCGCTGTGGCAGAAACACTGGACCTAGTATGCGATTCTAAAATAAACCTGCCCATACGTTAACCGACCATCGGATTTGGTGCCCGGTTTGTCGAACAGCGTGTGGGTTAACCTCGGAATACACGTGTGTATTTCTTCGGTTCCATATCCATTTCTGGTAAATGTCGACTCATCTGTCCAGACGACGTGCTCAATGAAACCAGGCACACGTTGTTGTTGGTCTAATAAACAACGGCAGAAAACTCGCCTGCGGTCGTGATCGCCGGTAACTAGCGCTTGAACTTTGTATACTTTATATGGGCGCATTCGGTTGCGCTTTAACACTTTGTGAACTATACAGTATGACACACTTGTTCCATCCCGACGCCTTAACAATTTAGTGATACTTCGTGTACCTAGGTTCGGATTCCGGCGAACGACATCTAAAATGCGCTCCTCTTAGTGAACAGCCACTTGACTTCCACCTCCTGCCGCTACCAGAGCAATGGGCCGATTTTCCAACATTCGCTGAAATGCTGCTGTTATCAGTGAGCTGGATGTCGAGCGGTCGGGAATTTCTCTCGGTAAATTCGCAATGCATGCGAAGTATTCCTGCGAGCTTTTTCAAGGCACATTAACATGTTGCCATATTCACGAGCACTATAAACGTACGCGTTAGGCATTATTAAAACAAAAAAGAAACAAAAAACGTAACAACAAGAATAATACCAACACGTAATCACAAGTAATAACAATAACAAATTAATAAGCAAAACGATTGAACTGTCGCTCGCGCATGCGTGTACAAAATCAACACGGAACTGTCTCAAATACTAAAATTAATAACGAACCCCGACAAAACTGAAACCTACTGCGTCAAAGCCTAAGGCGACACCAGCCGGCCGGGTTAGGCATTCTGCCGTCATAATAAAGAAGGACGCAACTAACAAAAACGTAAAATGGAAATAAAAAATAAATAGATGAATTTTTCTTTCAGACCCCTATGTCTAAAGTATATTAAAAGGTATCAATATGAAAATTGAAATATATACGTAGAGACACGAAGATTTTAAGGACGAACTTATTTTTTTGATAGTTTGTTTATTTATTTAAATAAAACGAATTTTTCTTTTTATCTTAGCTTACAAAATACACCTGGCAACACGAAAACATCGATAGAATGACGCATATAACCATTTGCGTCTTTCCAACATAATATATAAAAAACTGCCATTCATTTAACATTTTTACATATTTTGGAAAGGTGATTTGAAGTTGAAAGGACGCTAATAGTAATTTGCTACTTTTTTTCTTAGTAAATGTTAGAAAAGCTTTGGTAGTGAGACACAAACAATAACAACCCGCAACTCTTAAGTAATGATTTTAAAGGGGATATCATACAATATATATATATATATATATATATATATATATATATATATATATATATATACTACGATAATAATTAAAAATTAAAAATTTTGTACAACCGACTTCAATATAAATAATTAAGGATAACTCAGAAACTATTGGTCTGACCTCGATCAAATTTATATGGAACCACATGTGAAACACCAGCCCTTAATAATAAGATATAAGCTCTTAATAATAAGATATAGAATAATAAGACAAGAATAATCGAAATTTAAGTAATCGATGCAAATATTGTTAAAGATGACGTAGCACAACTGGTTAAATAAGTCTTTTGTTTTATTTTGAATTTGTATAAGTATTTTCTACTAAAAAAATGTCATCTGTGATTAACAGTTACGACTAAAATTCTTACAATATTTTCTAAAATATTGATATTTTTGAATATTAAAAAAAATTAGTAGATGCGCCTTTTTATCATGAGTCGAATGTTATATTTAACTCATTTATTCAAAAATTGTTAGATGCGCCCTTTTTTCTTATGACGGCAGCATTATTTCGCACCGAGCTAGATACAGGTCGACAGTGGAGGGAGTGTGAGTACAGTCGAGTTCTAAATTACGACATGGTATTGGGCTATTGTTTTATTGTAGAATCATAATAGGTGTTTTACTAGCTACTTAGAACTTTGGAAGAGGTTGAAATTAAAAATGGATAATGTTTACTTGAGCATTATTTGTTATTTCTATCGTAAAATATAAAGTAGTTTGTAACAAGAAAACTTAAGCTAAGGGTGACACGTCGTCCACTATGTCGTCTTGGGTCACATGTTACTGGATGCTAGTTCATCATCACTTTCATCTTCGCTTGAGCTTCCGTCATCAGGTCGATCACATCGTAATTTTTTCGGTATTCTTCCTCAACACTTTTAACTTTAATGCACAATTTTCCCCATTCACCTTCTCCTACCATATTTACCTTTTCGTTCATTAGTTCAGTCATAAAACAATAGATATAAATAATTTTTCTTTCCTTCCTTTTTAAAACCATCGTCGTGAGTCGCAAAGTATGCTGTGTATTCGACTGTATTTTGGGAGCGAAAAAAGCGCGAGAACCAACAGCGTGCGGCCACAGTAATACTGGCGGATTGTTCCCCCGTCGCGCCCCTTCTTACCCCTCACTCATAAATCGCTCAGTGCCCAGGTTCAAAGCCAGCGTTCCTTTTTCAGCGTTCGCGCGTACATTGACCTTTAATCAGCTGATATGAATTCAGTAACTCCACTGCTGATTTTATAATTCAGTATTTTCATGATTTTTTTTAATGAAATTATCGTTTCATTTAGCTGTACTAACATGATAGAGAATGAATGGAGCTAATAAAACGTTGTTAAAAGCTGATTTTTCTTTAATCAGGATCGATTTTATATTTCACCCATCATCAAAGGTATACTTGGTACTGTCGTTTGTATTAGTTTTCGGGAGCGTTCCAAAACTACCCTGTATATTATCATGGCAACTGTGACAAAATCCTCTAGATGAGGCAATCTATGGGAGAGACTTATGTTCAGCAATGGACTCTTATAATGTAATGTATGTAATAGATAAATGGATGGATGGATAGTTAAATATTGGCTCACGACTTTTGTACTTATTATTATTTGGAGAATTAAGATCATTCATCATCATCATCATCATTACAGCCATTAAAAAGTCCACTGCTGAATATAGGCATCCCCTATGGAATGCCACAAAACACGGTCACGAGCCAATTGCATCCATCGACTTCTAGCATGTCTTACCAGATGATCACTCCATCTAGTGGACAAATTAAGACCATTCGAATCCGATTAACCTATATAAAGCACATAAATTACCACAAGGAATGTCGTAGTTTGTGACTTACACCGATTGAAAGAAATTGCTTTGTGACAAAAATCATTGTGTTAAAAAAGGTTAAATTTTTGTCAGAAATAGAAGAAAAAGCGCATAATGTAGGCTAGCAACAAATTGTTCTGGTAAACCGACCGCGTTAAACTTAACCGTAACAAATATGGCTAGTAGGTTAACCGCAACGACTATGTTTCAGGTTAAAACAATGTGTACGGTTTTGCAAATCCAGTGAAAATTTTGTGTTCCTGGCTTTATTTGGAGATCATATTTTGATATGAAATACAAGCACTAAATAAAATCTAGTATTTTAAAAACAAACGAGATACGTATTACGTTCTGGCAACTATTGCTAATATCCCTTACTGAGGAAATTTATGAGGGACCTCTCCATGTTCAACAGTGGAATTTTATTTTTGTAAAATATATGTGACAAAGAGCACACAGTCCACCTGACATCCCATCAGTCCCACAGTCCATCTGTCCTCGGTTAAGATTCAAAATGCAGATGCGTTGTTACCCCTGAGAACTAAGATGGAATACTTCGTTTCCAGAAAAAAAGGTTCTCCGGTTTTCCACACTGCTATTTTATGCTGGTATTCTGTGAGAGCATTGTCCTACCCTGATCGAGCTAATCCCTTCATGCTACAAACATCAAATAGCTGCAGCGTGGTTTACTGACAAACGATGTCATCCTTAACAAATATATTTATGACTAGAAAGATATATATAGCAAATATTGATCTCCTTTTTCTAATATATGCCTTAAATTATTTATTACTTTACACAATATCTACATTAAACGTTAGCACAATTTATCATCACCAGGTATGTTAACGACAGATACCAGATTTAATTTGCAAATCCCTTGAATATTAAATATAGCGGTCATTCTTCATACTATATCTAGGGTACATTCATTTGCTTTACGGTCCAGAACACCAATAACACTATATCAAGGCCCGTCGCGGTCGGCCCCTTGCTGTAAATAGAGGTAGTGTAAATCAAGGCAACCTTCCACTGCTTACTGAGTCTTTAATGATGACCCCGTTTTAACTTTTATGCGAAATTAAAGAAGGTTTGTGAATGTAAGAAGGTCTTAAATCCTTGTGTGCTGGTGTAGTTTTTAGTTCCTAAGTAAAAGTATTAGTTAAAGACTATGATAGACGGATACCAGACCTTCTTTCACATCTAAGATGTATATGTAGTTATTACATTACATGTGCTTGATGATAATGATTTTAGATCTAGTACTTATAATTTGCTTCCATATTAGTATAAAAATATGACAAAACAACCCGAAACTATTAAAAATTATAGTCATAATATGCTATGTATGTATATATTATGCTACCTTTTTATTCAGTTCTGTTTTCTTGATATTATCTGTACAATGAGAAAATTATGAATACAAAAGTAGGAGTTTTATGTCTCAAAATATAAGGGAGCCATCTCTCAAAAAAGGATTTTTCTCACTACCCCGTATAATTTCATTATTTTAAGAGAAGTAATTCGCAAAGAACAATTTTACGGGAGTTTTGATTCTTAGAAACAACATTAATTTAATCAACAAAATTATAAAAATATAATCTTGTGTTACTCAAATTTGAAAGAGTTTTGTTCATATTAATTATAGACCGTATTTGCGCGATAAAGCTATGCTGCAGCTATAAACGAAGCTATGGCTGTAGCACGAAT